CACCCAAATCACAATGTAAAGAAAGAATAAATGAGGAATCAAATACCACATAGCAAATATTTATATAATAATATATGTCAGACACTTTTAAAAGCATTTTACTTACATTAATTCCTTAAAACCCTATAATTCATTGGAGGATATGGTCCTTTTCTCTTTATAGATATTATCCCCTACATACAGATACAAAGTGATTATATAACTTGGCCAAGGTCACACAGCTAGTTGATGCCAAGGCTCTGCTTTTCTAATTCAATTGGAAACCTTAGCAATGAGTAAAAGCCCACTAAAAATGGCCTGACTTACTGAGGTGACAGAGGAACAACCAAGATAATTGCCCTAAGATCTCCTTTGAACTTGTAACTGAAGCCACTCCTTGAGTTCACCTTTCAGCCAAATAGTAGATTGACTTATAAAATAAAACAATGTCAGCTGTGAGTAATGTGCTCCCTTAAACAATCAATATGAGACCAAATGGTTAATATGTACCCAAAAGCAAAGGTGACTAAGCAAGGAGGGTCATGGAAGCTATAGCAATGGAAACAGAACAAACAGATAGAAACAATAAGAATGCTAACACACTACAAAATTTTCACCAATGCCATGGAACAATCTGTACACAAATTTTTAAATGGGAACCTAATTTGCTATGTAAACTTGCACCTAAAACACTGTATTTAAAAAAAAAAAGCCCTGATAGACTTGGAAAAGAATCTAACAATTTCTAGAACTAAAAAAAAAAAAATTGAATAATAAGTTCAAGGAAAGGGTTAAATAGCAGAAAAGGTCCAACTGAACCTGGAATTAACAAGTTGGAAGAAAGAGGTAAAGAAATTACTCAGCATACAGTACAAAGAGAAAGAAAATATAAAAGAGACATTAAAGACATAGAACATAAAGGTACATTCAACTGGCTTCCCAGAAAGAGGCAACATAGGGAACAGAGAAGACGCATTTTTCAAAGAACAGCTGAATTTTTAAAAAATGATGAAAGCTATGATTCTAAATATATTGTTTAAAAAAGGCAAAGAGATTATAAAATAGAAAGTATCTTCTAGAGTTAAAACAACAAAAAAAATGTTCCCATGAGATCTAAGTAGGTAATAGATGACAAAAATGGAAAAAACAGTTCTAGGAACATGCTGGATGAAATACTTTAAGTATCTTTTAAAATACATAATTTACCTGGCAATTATGTATAAAATATTCAGAGGCCAAGAAGTAAATGTAAGGGGAACCCAAGAGGAAAGAATGAACAATAAAGCAGAGTTTCTCTTTAGGGGTATATGCTAAACCAAGAGAACTTAGCTATGGTTTTCACAGCCTTTCGGGGGAAAAGCCAAAGCCTGGGATAAAAGACTACCATGTATAAAACTGAAAACCTAAAGGAAGTGCTACTATATTAGTATAAGGGAGAACTAAAACAGACAGGGCCCCTCTATCATCACCAAGGGACTGTATAGACAACTGCCTGTAATATTTTATCTTGGTGTTGAGGGGAGGCAACATTTGTCAGCTGTCTGGATGTTTAGTCTAAATCCTTACTACTTCAAGCCAAGAATTTAGTTTAAATTGGTCCTGGCTTAGTAGTGCTCCTAGGGTACCTGGCAGAAACAAAACCCATCATTTTTGTGAAGATAATTTTTGTTGAAGAGAAATCCATCTTCAGCATAGGGCTCAATTAATTTCCTCTCAGGAATTGATGGATAAGAGGAAGGAAAAACAAATAAGCAAGCACACAGATTTTTTAAAAAAAAAAGCTCAAAAAACATAAGCAGAAGATGTTAAAAACAGACTACCTAACCAACTTGTGATCAAATGAACAAGAACTTTTAAAACTGAAAGTATCTGGATAGGGAGGATACCTATAAATGCACTGCAACTCTCCAATGAGTAATAAAGTACACTTCTTGGAACGTATTTTGGGAAATGTAACTGTAAAGACACAGAAGCAATTCTGGAATTGTGTGTGTGTAAAGGTTAAAAAGGAGCTCTGGTGGCGTAGTGCCTAAGGCATTTGACTGTTAACCAGAAGGCTGGCGGTTCAAACCCACCAGCCACTCCTTGGAAGGAAGATGAAGCAATCTACTTCCGTAGCGATACTGCCTCGGAAACCCAAGGAGGGGTTGCTATGAGTTGAAATCGACTTGATGGCATATAACAACAACAACAAAGGTTAAAAACATTTTATCTAGGTAGTGCAATTTAGAATGGCATTTTCCTCTGTATTTTTCTGAACCTCCCATATTTCTACAATAAATTTAGACTACTAAGATGTCTACTAAACAGTCTAGTGAAACCAAAAACGTGACCAGGAAAAATATCCAATGATCTTTTTATCTTTTTTACTGGTATAGAGAAAAATGAGAAAACACAAGCATACAATGACAGAAAACAAGAGAAAAACTATGTAAGTTGTGGCCACTACTGAAAAATATAAAATGAAAATTAGTGACATAAGAGGGTAAAGACCATAAAGAATTACGGTAAAAACGAAAGACAGAATAGTGGCAAAACAGTTACAGGAAGAAGTGTATGTGAACTGCTGTATGGAAAGTGAATCTGCTCTGTACATCTTCACCCAAATCACAATTAAATAAAAAAGAAGGAAGAGTCAGGGGAAGAGTAAGAATAATAAAAACAACGTGGGCAGAATACACACTGCCACTAGTCATTTCCTTTTCCTCAGCATAGTATTCCTAAAAGTCCAGAGAGAGCCCTTATCCTAGTTTTCTCTCACTACTGCATTTGTTTCAGGCAGTTAGGCAATCTATTAACATTTTGTTAAACCTGAATCCCTCAAATCAGAAGGATGTAACAAATCACCATCTTTCAGATCCTCATCATTTATGGATTTAAGTATAAATAATTAAGAAAACTTCTGTAAAAAAGTATAAAAGTAACACGCTGTATTTTCCACTAAAAGCAACAAAAACAAAAGTTTAAGGAAGATGTCTTTCATATACCTGGCAGCTATGATCGGTATCCAATCCATCCCAGAGACTCATAAACTGAGCTTTCATCATGGCTGTAGCTTCATGATCAGAACTTGAACGGTTTCGCAGAAAGGAATCTAGAGAAAAAAAAGTTCTTAACCTCAGAAATCAATAATGAATTATTTATATTTTAGGTAATTTCAAATCATTTAATCAAAATAAGACACTTTTACAAAAGATTACAAGGAAAATTATGCCATCTCAGAGATTACTCTGATAACCTATAAAAATTATAGTTAATTACTGAGCAAATTAAAATGTAATTTGCAATCTTAAATTCCTTCCTAAAACACTTATGTCAACATATATAAGAGAAATAACGGCTCTGGTACCGAGAGGTTAGAAATGAATTAAGTAGAACTTGGGAAAAATCTGTGTGCTTCAGCCTTAACTTTCTAGGCTAGCTGAAATCTAAGTATTCTTAATTCTAGGATCACATCTTTTTGTTCATACTTTCTTAGTAATACACAAAAATGTTATGGAAAACTCCTAAAACATTATTAAGTGAAAAATGTAGCAAACTAAATCATACAATGATCTCAAAAAATGTTAAATACATATACATGGTAACATGCTATACACAGTAAAGAAGTCTTTCAGGAAATATTAATAACCAAATTACTAATTAGTTTTGTTACTGTTCAATGATGTATTTTAAAACAATTTTTATTTTCTCCATTACTTTCTTTCAAATTATCACCAATGAACATAAAATGTTGTGAAAAAAGAAAATATGAAAAGAACCAAAAGATCTTACAGAGTTCAAAGCTAATCAACAAAATAAAAATCAAATGACTGAGAGATTAAACATAGCCTAGGAAAGAATTTTTTTATCACCTATGCTAAGATTGATTGATTTAAAGTAATTTTTTATTGTAGTAAAATATAACTAAACATCTACCATTTTAATTATTCACCCCCCCCCAATTATGAGGTTCATTAGGGAAGTGTCATGGATTGAACTGTGTCCCCCTCCCCCCAAAATATGTGTGAACTTGTCTGGGTCACAATTTCACTGTTTCGACAATCATGTAATGATATAATCATCCCCCACATCATGATCTGATCTGATCAGACAATCAGTTGTAAGGAAATTAGGATGGGATGTGACCTTAGTCAGGTCACAGCCCTGTGTGGTCTGCATCACCTTTTATCTTAAAAGAGATAAAGGAAAGCAAGCAGGAGAGGGACCCTCAGTACCACAAGAAAAAAGCCAGAAGCAGAGTGTGTCCTTGGGACCCAGAGTCCCCATTTTAATCACTTTTAAGTGTACAATTCAGTGACGTTAGTTATATTCCCTATGTTGTAAAATCATCACCACTATTTATATCCAAAAGTTTTCATCACGCTAAATAGAAACTAAGTACTCCTGAAGCAATAATTATTTCAGTGGATCAAGAATAGGATAAAAATTCTGATGATCCATAAAAATCTAGAAATAGTTCATTAATATAAAAGAATCAAAACATATAGGAAAAAATGGACAATTTTATAAGTTGGCTGCCCATATGGAAAATGATGAAATTAGATTCCTAACTCACAGTGTATGCTAAAAACGTATGTAAATATATATATAGATATATGAAAATTTATAGGAGCAGGGAAGGAATTTGTCAACTAGATACTAAAAAACATAAATCATAAAGGCAAAAGTTACAAATGTAACTAAATTTAAATTTTTGTAAAAAAAATCTATTATAAATATCATAAAAAATACAAAGGAAAATGCAAATACACTCAAACAAAAGCTAGACTATTTCTAGATTTTATGGATCATCAATGTTTTTGGCAATTCACAAGTAAACCTAAATAGCTAATTAACCTGTTAAAAAATGTCCAGATTCATTAGGTAGCAGCAACACAAATTCAAACAATAAAATAATTCTTGGTCTTTTACTGGTAAAAATGACAGTATCTGGGAAAAACAAATCGTAGGGAGTACACAGATAAACAAAAACTCTACACACTGGTAGGAATAAGAACAGTTTTAACCACTTTCAAGATCTGATAATCCTAGTAAGGTTGACATATTTTACAACCTAATAGTTCTATTTCTAGGTATCCACACTACACAAACTCTTGCATATATGTGCATGAGGAAACATGTACATGCATTGCCTATTACAATACAGTTTGTAATAGGGAAAAGACACATAAACCCATTAAGTAGGAAAATCAATAGACTATGGTTTTATACTGCATCACAGAGATAGTACATAGCATATTGGAATGTTGGTTATCTCTTTAGTTTTATTAATATGGCCTATTAAATGTTAAAACGACATCTGTTTATCGAAACGCCATCTTTTAAAATGACTTTTTAAAGTGCTCCCATAGAAAACATAACATACCTATTTCATCTATAAAGATGATAGAAGGCTGCAGCTTTATGGCAAGGGAGAAAACAGCAGCAGCCAATTTCTGAGATTCTCCATACCACTTATCGGTCAGTGTTGAAGGCTGAAGGTTAATAAATCGACAGCCTGCTTCTTTGGCTGTAGCCTTGGCAATCAATGTTTTACCACAGCCTGGAGGCCCATAGAGAAGAACACCTAGAAATGAACATGAAATGTCATTAATTCCTTTAAGAGAATGAGATGTTTGCTTTAGTTTAGGTGATAATCAACATATTACTGCTGTCTACGCTAAAATTTTTCCCAATGTTTAAATCTGGTTTTGTTCATTTTTTTAATGGTATAAATTATAGAATAATCAGAAAAAAAAACATATGCAGGTAGTTTCAGTATCTTCTGAGTTACAAAAAACTGCATTTTTTCCCCTTTGATAAACCTTACTATTCTATTAGTAATGTGTACTACATACAATGTTGGAGCTTACACTTTGCTGATGTTATTACTCTATGCCAACCCCCAAAGACAAAAAGAGATTGTATTTATAATAAAGATTGTTGTATACTGCCGTTGAGTCGGATCCGACTTCTAGCGACCCCTCCTTAGATTTCTGAGACAGTATCATTATGGAAGTAGATTGCCCAACCTTTCTTCTGAGGAATGATGGCTGGCGGGTTTGAACTGCCAGCCTTCTGGTTAGCAGTCAAATGCCTTAGGCATTACGCCACCAGAGCTCCTGTTTATAAAGCTAGTGATAATAAAAGGCAATAATAACTTAAAAAAAAAAAAGGAGGTATATGACTTATGTCAGAACCAACTTACAGGGGAGTTGTAGGAACAGAACCAACTCACAAGTCAAAAATATTTTGGAAACCTAATACATGTAAAGAAAAATAATTGTGAAGCCATTATGCTAGCAGTCTAGTTAATGAATAAGCAGAAAGGCTCCATTAATTAGTTTCAGTGATGACACGTAGTTGGGGATTTATAGCATTCCTGTACCTCTTCCTTTCCTGAAAAGGTCCAGAGTTCAGGATACTATTCTTGACATCCAAACTTATACTACTCTTTCACTGGATGACAAAATTATCTAATGCCCTCCACCTTCCCAAGTTAACAAAGCATGCACTTTCATAACCTGAAAAAAAACAGACAACTTCAGAACAGATTATAGCAAACACTGTTTTGCTGTTGCTCAGAGATTTACGTTTTAGCCAAAAGGATTTGTAATCTTTTCTAAAGACATAAAATGACCTCTTCTTAAAAGAATCAGAAACTACCAGTCACTTCTGTTATAACTTTCAAAGAATGAAACCGTATTTTTAATTTATAGCCTTCAGTGATAACAGTTTGCTTCTACATACAAATTAAGGTACTTTTCATATATAAAGGTTCTAAGTAAGTTGGAGTCTTAAACATTCAGGGAATCACCACCATCTGCTTCTCAACTAAAATGACATAGCATTTTCTCAATAATTGAATACTAAAATTATGGCCCTGTATATGAATAAATCATCTACAAACAGAATTTACCAAAAAAAGTAATCCACAGACCTCTGAAAAACAGTTGCTTAATTCACAGCTTTTGAACTTTTCTCATACACAAGCCTTAAAAAGTGACAGAATTTATAGAGAGCATGCTGGAGTAAACTGGAGGGGATCTGAAGGAATCTCTAATTTTCTTCTTATTACAGAATAAAAATAAAATACAAAATATAAGGTAAGAAAAAAGTATTGTATAAAGTTTCCCAAAACAAATTTTAAAAGGAGAAACTTGAGCTTGTTTCCAGAAACCTAACAGCAAATTTGTTCCCATTTCTTGTTGTTAGGTGCCATCAAGTCTGTTTCAGCTCTTAGTGGCGCAATATACAACAGAATGAAACACTGCTCAGTCCCGTGCCGTCCCGACATTGCTATGCTAGAGCCCACTGTTGCAGCCACTGTGCCAGTCCATCCTGTTGAAGGAGTCTTCTCTTTTTTCACCGACCCCTACTTTATCCACCATGATCTTCTGTGCCAGAGACTGCTCTGATGAGACGAAGTCTGGCCATTCTCACTTCTAAGAGCATTCGGATGTACTCTTTACAAGACAGATTTGCTCATTCTTCTGGCAGCCCAATGTATATTCCATCAATGTATTTTCCATCAAACCACAATGCAAATGCATCAACTCTTCGGTCTTCCTCATTCACTGTCTCACCATGGTGGTTTGGGTCAGACACAAACAATTTTTTTTTTTTTTTTGAAGTCTTCAAGAGAAACAACTTTGCTCTTTAAAACTTTAAAGAGCTCTTTCACAGCAGATTTGCCCCAACGCAATACATTTGATTTATTGACTGCTGCTTTCATGGGTGTTGACTGTGCGTGCATCCAAGTAAAATGAAAGCCTTGACAACTTCAATCTTTTCTCCATTTATCATGACATTGTTTTTAATGGTCCAGTTGTAAGGATTTTTGTTTTATGTTGAGATGTAATACATACTGAAGGCTGTAGTCTTTGATTGTCATCAGTAAGTACTTCAAGTCTTCTTCACTTTCAGCAAGTAAGATTGTTCTGCGTTATCACAGGTTGTTAATGAGTCTTCCTGAAATCCTGACGATGCATCCTTCTTCATATAATCCAGCTTCTTGGATTATGTGTTGAGCAAACAGACTGAATAAGTACGTTGAAAAGATACAACTCTGATGCACACCATTGCTAATTTCAAACTATGCATTATGCCCTTGTTGTGTTCGAAAGACTGCTTTGTGTACATATAGGTTCCTCGTATGCACAATTAAGTGGTCTGGAATTATAATTCTTGGCAATTTATCCATAATTTGTTATGATCCACACAGTAGAATGCCTTCGCATAGTCAATAAAACACAGGAAAACTTCTTTTTGGTATTCTTTGCTCCCAGCCAAGATCCATCCGACATCAGCAATGATATCCCTCATTCTACGTGCTTTTCTGAATCCAGCTTGAATCTAGCAGTTAGTTCCCTGTCCATTTAATTCACATAAAGCTGAAAACATATGGGATGACTGCAAAAGCTTGGCATTATCATATTAATCGTTTTGATTATGTAATTTCATGGGGAATTCAAAGCTATTAGCAAATTATGATACACATATTACTTGAATTTCGGGGCTTTAGAACTATTGACACAAAAGCCTTCATATTTTGTTGACTTTGCAGCTGCACCATCATTTCATAAACCTATGCAGTATGTTTAGAAGGACATATTTGTTTCAATGTATTCACTTACCACTTTGAATATTTTATCCCTACCTGTTTAATTCTGGTACTTATACGAGCAGGAGTAAGTTTTCAAGTTATTTTTTCTTCAAGGATTACAACTAGCACTATTAACTGAGCATTTAACTAGTGTTATTAACTGAGCAATTATTAACATCTGAAGATTCAAAATGCAATGAAAGCCTGTGGATTTCATAATCTTCTGGAGTATGGAGCTTTGATACATGAGGTACACAAGAGGAGCTGTCAATGTTCATTTCTTCACCTGGTTGTTTTACATGGGTGTTAGCTTTATAATTATTCATACAACTATCTATACTTCTGTAGAATGCATGTCAAATTTCACTAAGATTCATTTGACTCATTATCAGTGCATTTACTCATATTATTATTTATAAATGGTACCTGTTCAATCTCTTTTGCTTAAGTGTTAATTTTAAACACAGTTAAATTTAAGTGTTAATTTTTATGAAGGCTGATAAATGAGTGGTTCTGCAAATGAATGTGAAGCATTTTACCTTATGATTTGTACAATGTCTTAACTCATTTTTTTGGCTCAACCTGATAAAGTTTCACCATTATAACTAATTTCAACAAAATTAAAAATTTGTATGTTGTGCTTTGTAGAGGCTTAAATATTCAAATCCCTTTTGTTTGAGATGAACAGTTTTGATAAGGGCTTTACTTGATAAGTAGTACAAACAATAAAAAACTCAGAATGAGGAAGTAGGAAGTTTTGAGGCACATATCCAAATTTGAGATACTCCTCATTAGTGACAAATACATCGCCTTATTACTGACAAACTTTTCTTTCTTTCATTCTTCCCTGGACTATTTCTTGACTTTCAAGTTTTAATAAAAATTTGCCCAAATGGTAGATAAATTAGTATCTATAAAGTACTTAAGGTGAATCTAGGACTTTATGGACTAAGAAAAATTTTCCAAAAAAATATTCTTCTTAGGTTATCTACAGTCTTAAGCATGTATCAAAACATAGGACAATGTGCCAAAATAATAGTTAGCAAATTCACAAAGTTTATAGAGGAGCAATAGTGTTCAAATGGAACTGCAACTGTTGTAAATTTCTAAATGTTTAGAGAAAAAAGTTCACATTTTTTTACGCAGCTACCAAATCTTGTGGTATGTTCCTGTAATCAATTAGTGGCATAACAGTGTACAAAAGCACAACTGTTATGATGCTCCATCTTAATATATTTATGCCATCTAGTGGCACAGTGCCTAAGGCATCTTACTGCTAAACCAGAAGGCTGGTGGTTCAAACCCAGCAGCCACTCCTCAAAAGGAAGGTTGGGCAATCTACTTCCACAGTGATACCACCTCAGAAATCCAAGAAGGGGTTGCTATGAGTTGGGCTCGACTTGACGGCAGTATGTTGGTCTTGTTTGGTATTAAGTTAACTACTGACCTCACTTGCTGCATGGACAGGACATAACAATTTACTCTCAAATGATCTTTCTGTCCATGGGAGGCAGTGATCACTTTCACCTTACATAGCAGTTAACTGTGTAAGAATAACAGAAAATTAGCAATACAGCAGTGACTCTAACCTAGATAACCTGATTTCTGCACAAAAAATGAACAAGCACAACACAACTGATTTTATGTTCCACTTCTGTACACTAATATTTATACTGTGAGCCATGAAGTAAATCAATCATTTTTCAAATGTTACTGATGAAAAAAAAAGTTTTCAAAAACCAAAGTGGTAAAGTTCAAATATATAAAAGTTAAGATTACATATCAACAAATATATTTATGTAACTCCAAAAAATTTAAAATATTGTATTTTTATACAAATAACACGTGTTCTACATTTTTTAAAATTCCCCGCCCCCCCAAGCATGTCATGCTAATATTTTTTCTTAAGGGAGGGGAGGCTGGCAAAAGAATTTAGCACATGTACATTAATTGCATAAAAATACGGCACACATACCAACTATCCAGTTTCTGGATGTTTTCCAACAAGTAGCAGATTTAATGCATCCTCTCTATACTTTGATATCTGCTATGTTAATTTAGACTTTAAACCAAGTCCAACTGGTAAAGCCACCTAGACTAAGAAATGAATGATGAGAAAGAAGCTTCCTCTAACAGCATATAAAGAGCATTTTATTTCCTTAAATTCACTAGCATTGTGTAATGGAGAACTGAAAACAGAGTTTTTTTTCAGACTATAAATAAATTAGTATGGTAAAGAACTAAAAACACAATAAACTAAATCCTTTTTGTTAGAAAAAAATAAAGAGCTTTGTTGTTTCAGAAAATAAGAAAAAACATATGACAAAAAACCTTTGTTGCTTTAGTTAATAAAAAGAGTATGCCATTGTTGTTGCTAATCCTCTACTTACGAAAAACAAAAATTGTCTACTTCATAAAAAAGCACAGGTATAGTGACTGGTACGCCATCCAATCTGCAGTCTATTCAACTATGGGACCAGAAGAACTAGATGGTGCCCGGCTACCACTGTCATCCACTTGGAAGGGGATCTATGTAGGAGATCCTTGATAGAGAGGGAGAACAATGTGGAACAAAACTCAAAATCATTTGGAGAAAAAAAAAAAGGGGGAGGAAGACCAGGTTTGCTGGT